GCGCCGCCAACCAGGGCCAGGTCTTTGAGGTGTACAACATGGCCAAGCTGTGGGGCCTGCCGGTGATCTTCGTGACGGAGAACAACGGCTACGGCATGGGCACTAGCGCCACTCGATCGTCCGCCTCTACGGAGTACTACACTCGCGGCGACTACGTTCCCGGCCTGTGGATCGACGGCATGGACGTGCTCGCCGTTCGCAATGGCATTGAGTACCTGGCCAGCCAGTGCCGCGCCGGCCACGGGCCCTTTGTGGTGGAGATGGCCACCTACCGCTACCACGGCCACTCTGTCTCCGACCCGGGCACCAGCTACCGCACTCGCGATGAGATTCAGGAGGTTCGCCAGCACCGTGACCCGATCACCGTCTTTCGCGAGCATGCCCTCGACGCCAAGCTGGTCACCGCCGAGGAGCTGAAGGCCGTCGACGGGGAGGTTCGCGCCGAGGTGGATGAGGCCGTCCGCCAGGCGAAGAGCGAGCCGGAGCTGGACGCCACCGAGCTCTACAATGACATCTACGTGAGCTGCATTCAGCCCAAGGTGCGCGGAACGACGCCCTTCACCGAGCACACCCACCAGACCACTGGCAAGCTTTTTAACGTTTAGCTAGCTATCTCTTCTTTCTTGCTGCTAGTAAGCTCTACTGTAATCTGATTTGTTGTTAGAAGAATGCGCGCACATTCCCCTTTTCACCTTCATATTCACCTTCAACTGTTTTATTTTCTGCAAACGCTAATTACTGCCTCGCGGCTGGTCAGCCTCGCTGAGCACCACCGGGAACCAGCCATGCTGACAGAGGGTGACGATGGACGGTCGCTTGGGTGGGCTCGGCTCGAGCATCAGTGCGACCAGCTCCTTGGCCTCTGCCGTCAGTCGTGCCTCGATGTCCTCCTGGAAGGCGTACTGCTTCGCCAGCTGCTTGCTGATCATTGCCTCCTTATCATGGCGGTCAAAGGGGTACGTCTGAAAGTGGTTTTGAAAGGTAAGTTGGTATTGCGATTTACCGATTCTCTCTTACCTGGTTCAACATGATAAAAAGAAGAACCCCTAGAGTAATGTGTAAAAAGAGCAATCAGTTTAGTGTTCCAAATCAGTCACCACCACCACTTCCACATACCCATACTCCAAATGTCTGCCGGAAATGGCTCGTAGGGCGTGTGCTTGAGCACTTCAGGTGCGCTGTAGCTGGTGGTGCCGCAGTAGGTGTCGGAGAGGGTGGCCTTGCCGGTGACTGGGTCCACTACCACAAAGCGACTGAAACCTAAGGCAAAGCAGTAAATGAGTTGATGGCAGTGTCAAAACAATGTCAGGCAGAGTAGCTCTCACCAAAGTCAGTCAGAATGGGATTGAGGTAAGCATCGAGGAGTACATTGTCCAACTAACAACAACAGCAACAGTTTCATCATTAGTTGAAAATCAGCGAATCACTACTAGGGGACCTTAACTACCTTAATATCACGATGGGAGATCTTGTGCTCGTGCAGGTATCGCAGGGCACGGCCCACCGGACAGAACCACGCCTTGGCGTTCCACTCGCAGAGAGGCCCGTTCTTGCGGATTACATTGCCGATGTTGCCGTTGGGCGCAAAGTCCATGATAATGTAAATTTTGGTGCGTGTGCGAAAGAGCTCCTCGATGTGAATGCAGTTGGGGTGCTTCAGGTTGTTGACAATCTGCAGCTCCCGCTTCAGGTCGTCGTCCAGCTTCTGACTGTTCGGATCTTCGATATGCACCACTTTAATGGCGTAGTCGCGGCCGTTCTTCACGCTCTTGTACACGTTCGCTTGTCCGCCGGAGTCGATGCGCTGGAAGCCGCTGTAGCCACGCCGACTGAGGGCGTCCGTCATTTCGGTTGGTTGTTAGGGTACAATCACAATCTCAAACACAAACACAAACACAAACACACACAATTGAAAAGTGATGTACTAAGGCAATGTTTTCATTGTTTTTTATTTCGCTCGCCTTTGAGACAGAATTTCGAACTACAACAACTGCTCTAGTTTGTCAAGACGGGAAATGCGTGGCCAACACTGTTGAAGACCCACTGGTTCAGCGGCAAGGTTTCCGGACCGGAAAAGGTCAGATAGAGAAACTTGAGCGTTCCGCTGAGGAATATGGGCGGTTGGCGGTTTCCCTGGCTGCCCTCCCTGGTCACGTCGCTGATCTCGGCGAATCCACCGCTGGCAGTCTTTGCGTGTCGCTTGATGGCCTGCACCATTTCCCAGGAACGTTCTCGGTACTTGGTATCGCCGGTCAGTCGCCACAGCACAAAGTTGGTTTCGGCAAAGTCAGGCCTAATTGGGTTAAGAAAGAAGGGGGGTACCTGGTAAACTGAGAAACACCGCACAAGTGCCTTACGTTAATCGGTAGNTCCGTGTCGCTTGATGGCCTGCACCATTTCCCAGGCACGTTCTCGGTACTTGGTATCACCGGTCAGTCGCCACAGCACAAAGTTGGTTTCGGCAAAGTCAGGCCTAATTGGGTTAAAAAAAGGGGGTTACCTGGTAAACTGAGAAACACCGCACAAGTGCCTTACGTTAATCGGTAGTGCTTGGTGTGGGAGGGCAGGTAGGTTTGGGCCATGTACTGCAGAGGCCCTAGCTTAGTGACAGTCCGCTTGGAAGCCTCATGGCAGTCCTCGGCAATCTGCACGCCCAACTGCTGCTGTCGATTGGCCGTGTCCACCGAGTTGTTGTTGGTCTTTTTCAGCGTCTGCGCGCCCAGTGCCATCAGTCCGCCCAGGTGGCAGTTGTAGTAGTAGTTGTTGAACTCGTGGGCCAGGTACTGTTTGCTGTTGGTGTAGTGAATGATCACCGTGCCCTGGTTGTTCTGATAGATGTACTTCGTCTCAATCAGCGCCTCCATTGCCTCCTTGTACATCTGCAGGCCTTCAGTGTCGCTGGTGTTCTGAATGGCAGAGAGCAGCAGCGCTCGGTAGAAGTCATTGGTGTTCCAGTCAACGCCTCGGTAGGTGGACTGAAAGGGATCTTCATTGGCCTTGGCGTTCACATCCACCGACACACCGTAAAGGCCTTGCCCTGACCGGTGTGCCTTCAGGTAGTTTCGGATTTGATGGACGCGTCTCTTTACATCTGGCTTATTAGCTACCTTGGCGTAGTAGATAAACTCTAGAAAGGTGCCGCCAACAGTAGACAGAGGAGGACTGGTGAACTCAGCGGTTTTCGTCTTTGGGTCAAATCTTTCCATGGGAAGTCCAGTTGAAGTTTTGTACACTGGTCCAATCGCATCGACTATTTCCGTTGCCTTGTCGAGGAAAACTTGCTCACCACTGAGAGCATACGCAGAGAGAAGGCCTCCCAGGTACTCTGAGACTTCATCGAAAAAGGCCTGGTTCGGAAGTGACTCAAACTTCCAGTTGTTGCCACTAGCCAGCCACTGTCGGCCTTCATTGAACTCCTCATCGAGGCCCATGACCTNGAATCTTTCCATTGGAAGTCCAGTTGAAGTGTTGTACACTGGTCCAATCGCATCGACTATTTCAGTTGCCTTGTCAAGGAAAACTTTCTCGCCACTGAGAGCATACGCAGAGAGAAGGCCTCCCAGGAACTCTGAGACTTCATCGAAAAAGGCCTGGTTCGGAAGCGATTCAAACTTCCAGTTGTTGCCAGCCAGCCACTGTCGGCCTTCATTGAACTCCTCATCGAGGCCCATGACCTTGAGTGTGCCCAGTGCTGCAATCACACTTTTGCCTGTGTCACCTCCAATCGAGCTGTTGGTCAGTGGGGCGAGTGCCTCTTTGCCCAGTGCAAACTGCTTGTACGCTTTCCAGGCAGACTTGGCCATCNAGTACTCTGAGACTTCATCGAAAAAGGCCTGGTTCGGAAGTGACTCAAACTTCCAGTTGTTGCCACTAGGCAGCCACTGTCGGCCTTCATTGAACTCTTCATCGAGGCCCATGACCTTGAGTGTGCCCAGTGCTGCAATCACACTTTTGCCTGTGTCACCTCCAATCGAGCTGTTGGTCAGTGGGGCGAGTGCCTCTTTGCCCAGTGCAAACTGCTTGTACGCTTTCCAGGCAGACTTGGCCATCTCTTTCACCTCCTGAAGGCGATCATTTTGGGCAGTCTTCGGTTCTGTAGAAACAAAATAATTTATGAGCAAATAACTTAGTAAACGACAGAAACTATACCTTCGGTACAAACTAAACTGAAAACGACAGTTGTAATGAGAAAAATAGCCAACCAAGGTCCTTGGTCCAAGGATGACTACGAGACATTTTTGCTGCCAGACGATTTAACTATTTGTNACTTAGTAAACGACAGAAACTATACCTTCGGTACAAACTAAACTGAAAACGACAGTTGTAATGAGAAAAATAGCCAACCAAGGATGACTACGAGACATTTTTGCTGCCAGACGATTTAACTATTTGTTGAAGCTTAATGATCCTGAAAAATAAACACCCCTTTAAATATGATCCTTTTTCCAGTTCAAAGTTATTTTTGTCAAAAGTATCTTATCAGTTTATCTAAATAACAAATTATTTCTTTATTGCGATGCTAATCGTGATTTACTTTTTACTGTACAGCAACGAAAACATGTTTTTCACTTTAGCTGTTAAATTAAACATCTTTGCTGAATTAATTTGTAACACCACTTTAGGAAAAATTTGTTCAAGGTAATCATGTTTTTCAAAGGGTTGTTTTTGCACATTTTGTTTTTCTGAGCAAATGAAAAATATCTTTTTGATAAAACTAAAATTGAGAAACGGCAAATGGAAAAGTTCGGGCAACGTTCCCAAAATCTTTCCCGTAAACTTTCAACATGTTTTTATGCAAAAAATAACATCAACAAAATCTGCTGTTTTGTTTGACTAAAAAGCCGACCAGAATCTTCTTGTTCCCTCATTATCGTAATCACAATTAAGAAAATCCAAAATGCAGTCCGTGAGACTGTCATTTGTGACAAAATGTTCCTCCCTAAGCGTGGCCGTTCGGGCTCCACTCCACACCACATCGCAGTGCTTCAAGTTTCAGACGGACACTGAGCTGGTGCACCAGGGCGTCAAGTTCGGCCTGTCCTCGTACCCTAGTCGACCAAATGATCCTCGGGTACCGTCTAATCCAAACTTCGGCATCACTCACCTTCACCGCCTGTCCGATGAGCCCACAGCTCTGGGCTCCCCTGAAGAGACGAAGAAGGCCGCCCGCAAGGACTCCATCTCCAAGGCGATGAAGATTTACCTTGAACGCGCCAAAAAGCACAGCGAGTTCATTCTCGAGCAGGAGCAGGAGTTTGACATGGGTCGGCGACATTTGGCCAACATGATGGGCGTCAATGAGGCGACCATGTCGCAGACGGATATCAACGTTAGTATCTGTTTACCTTGCAAACAAAGATTTGTAATTATTGTTTTTGCTTGTTTTTGCAGATAGCCATTCAGTATCTGATGCCTTCGGGCATCTTTGATCGAAGAGCCCGACCAAGAATGCTGCCACCCAGTGAGATTTATCCTTCCATTAAGAAGGCCCAGTTCCAGGCTGATGGTAGACCATTTCACTCGCTTTTCTATACAGGGAAGGCCAACTTTTATCAAGCATGCTTTGTAAGGATTGGAGTTACTTTAATTTCAATTTAAACCTAATGACTTGTTTTATTACAAAAAGGAAATTGAAGAGGAAATGACTCGTTTGAAAGAGCACGAAAACGCCCAGGTGCGACGAGGAATCACTAAACCACCGGCCGAAGCTAAAATGTATGCATTTCTCTTGTAAAGAAAGAGTTTACTAAAATATCATTCTACCCTTTTTCAGCGAGTTTTCCTCATCTACCTGGTTGAGTCAAATGGAAATGAAGCAGATTTTCCTTGAAAAAGTGGACACAAAACGTTTCGAAGCATTCGTTATTGCTTTGCAGCGCCTTGCGGACCATCCCTACTCAAAGATGAGTGCACCGCTGCTAAACAAGTACAGGAAGCAGCTAAAAACGGCCGCCGAGATGGTGGAGATTGCCCCGCTGAAGCACGACGACGCCGGTCGACCGTACATGGACGCTGTTGGTTAGTTTTGTATTTATAAAAAAGAAGTATAATTCTTAATTGTTATTTTGGTACTTTGAAGGCATCCGAAAGCACTGCGTTGCCTATGTTACCGTGCGCGGCGAAGGTACCGGCAAAGTGAACATCAACGGAAGAGATACCATTCTCTACTTCAACAACATCCAGGAACGGTATGGTTTTTCTTTGTTTCAGTGTGAATTTTAATGTTTTTGTTTTTCTGAAACGCAGCGAGCAGATCATGACGCCTCTCAAATTCACCGGCCTGCTAGGCAAGGTGGACATTGAGTGTCGGACGATGCACGAGGAGTACACCAAGCACTGGAGCGAAGATGTGCTGCCCTTTCCGACGCAGGTTCGCCGTCTCGGAGCTGCCTCACAGGCGGGCGCCATTCGCTATGGACTTTCACTGGCGCTGAAGAGCTTCGTCGACAGGGATACCGTCGAGAAGATGAGACTTGGTAAGGGTTGCTGTGTGCTGTTGTGCACTTTTTTGTGGTACACTGCCTAATCGCTCAATTTTTTATCTTTTTTTCCAGTCGGCCTGCTGACACAGGACACACGGCAGAAGGAGCGCAAGAAGTGGGGCCAGGAAGGCGCCCGGCGNGAATTTTTTTATCGTTTTTTCAGTCGGCCTGCTGACACAGGACACACGGCAGAAGGAGCGCAAGAAGTGGGGCCAAGAAGGCGCCCGGCGAAAGTATACTTGGAAGAAGCGATAAGATGTGTAGTGTGTCCAATGAGAGTTGTATGAATCATCGGAATCAGTGGTAGCGNCGCCCGGCGAAAGTATACTTGGAAGAAGCGATAAGATCTGTAGTGTGTCCAATG